TCCTGCCAACACCATAAGAACCTCCCCTGGGTACCTGTTGCCTCTTCAGCCTAGGCCCCAGAATGAACACACAAAAAGCACATACACTGAGCTGAACCCAGCTTTGAACAATTGACTTCCAGTTGACTCAGCTTCCCTTGCAACTAGGAGTGCTCAATGAGATGGAAGTAAAAGTCACTGAGTGAAACTTTCAGGAATTCTTTTTCAAGTGACCTAATTCAGATAGAAGCACAACTTTTGCATCCCCTCCCCCCTTTCCTTCTTCCTGCCTGGGACATTGATGTGATGGCTAGAACTGCAGCAGCCTTCTGTGTTCATGAGGAATCATGGAAAAGATGCAGCAAATAGATGGAAGCTTGGTCTCTGAGAATTTGTGGAACTGCCAAACTTGACCAAGATCTCCTACTTCTGGACTTATTTCACATGGAAGAATAGCCTCTAAATCACCTAAGCCATCATAACTTGGTTTTTATTACTAGCAGTCAAATATAATTTTTAACTGACATAGAATTATTACAAAAGATTTCCACAGTAAATTTTCCAAAAGTAGCCATAACAATATTTCCTATCTCATATGGTCTTTATTAAATGTGAGCTTGATACTCCTCCCAATGAACGGTAGAAACTATATTCCTTCTTCTTGAACTTGGGTGGACCTTTGTGACTGTCTCGACTAATTAGAGTATGGTGGCAGTGGTGTTACGTAACTTCCAAGGTTAGATCATAAAAATGCCACGTACTTCCTCCTGTCTCGCTCTTGGGACACTCACTCTTGGAACCCAGCCACCATGCTGCGAGAAAGCCCAAACTTGCCCACGCAGAGAGACCACATGTAAAGGTCACAAGTAAGTGTTCTGGCCAACAGCCCAGCTGAGGTCCAAGACAATAGCCAGCACCAACCAGCAGCCACGTGAGTAAAAGCACCTCTGGGCAATTCCAGTCCCCGGCCAACAAGTCACCCCTTGTCCTTTTTTAAAATTAAAATCTGATTTACTTTAAAATTTATTTTTCAATTACAGTTGTCATAAAATATTATATTAGTTTCAGGTGAGTCACCCTAGTCTTTAATTCTTCTCCAGACATCATGGAGCAGAGACATGCTCTCCCCACTTTGTCCAAAGTCCAGAAATCTCTGTGAGTATAATAAAATGGTTGTTTTATGCCATTAAGTTTTGGGGCACCTCCTGTTCTTTGAGGAGGTGACACTTGAACTGAGACCAGAGTGAAAAGGAGGAACTGGCTATGAGAACATCAGGGGTAGACATTCCAGTAGAGGGAAAAGCAAGTGCAAAAGCCAGGTGACGTGACTGCATTTGCAGTAATTGAAGAACAGCAAGAAGGCTAGTGTGGCTGGAGCCAATGAAAAAGAAAGTGGTAAGAGACAATGCCAGAGAGGCAGACAAGGACCAGATCATGTAGGGCCCTCCTAGGTATGGAAACTTCTCCTGGGGTTATAACTGCCAGAGTCACCTCTCCTAGTTGGCAGACTGGCTTCTGAAGAGATCTTCAATGCCTTGGCAAAAATAAGGGACCCATGGTAGAAATTTTTAGCTGCTGTTAGGAGAGGGATTTGTTTTTAGGTAAGAAAACAGAGGAGTAAAGGTGTCCAGGGAACAGTATCTGTTCAGCCTGTCCAGTGTGGCTCAGTGGATTGAGCGTCATCCCATGGACTGAGAGGTCCTGGTTTGATTTCCGGTCAGGGCATATGCTCGGGTTGCAGGCTCCATTCCCACTGGGGGCGGGGGGAGCGTGCAAGGGGCAGCCAATTGATGTTTCTCTTTCATATCAGGGTTTCTCTCTCACATTGCTGTGTTTATTTCTCTCTCCCTACTCTCTCTCTCTCAAAAATCAATAAAAACATTAAAAACAAAACAAAATAGTATCTGTTCAAAATTTCCAACAACTCATTAAATATACAGAAAGGCATAAGCCCCTTCAGCCTGGCATTTTAGGTACTTCTCAGTCCGGTCCTAACCTTGTTTTTGGACCCATCGCTTGATTCCTGATTCCACCTCCTACCTGCCTTTCCAAACTTACTCATGTTCTAATCATATGTGATGATTCACCATTCTCCAGACATATCATGTATGTTCAGGCCTGTGAGTGTTTCCATGCTGACCACCTGCCTTACATGCTTGCCTCCATTACCACCCTGGCATTGTGGACTGGTTCAAAGTCCACCTCAGTCTCACCTCTTCTGCCAACCTTCCTGGATAGCCCAAAGGAGAATAAGCCTCTCTCTCCCTTATGCTCCTGCAGACTTTACACAAAACTATAGTTGTACACATTATACTTACCATAGAATAGTCTAATTGTCTGTTCACTTGTCTAGTTCTCCTCCCCACCTTTACCTCCACACGAAAAAGAAAGACCTAGTCCAAGGCAGGTTCTGGGCCCTTTTCATCTTCGGGGCTTCAAGGCCAACCTCAGTGCCTATGGTACTGTAAACATCCTGTGATATTCCATCCAGAAGGAATGAGTAAGTTTGATGGGTGGATGGATGAATGAATGGAGAATTGAATAGCTGGATAAATGGAAGGGTGGATGATTGGATGGATGGGTGGACATATGAATAGTGGATGAATTGGGGATGGTGAATGGCTGCATGGATGTGTCATTAGATGCACAGATAGTGGGTGAAAGGCTGGCTACATGAATGGATGAGAGATTAACTATATAGGCAGATGGACAGGTGGATGAATGTGTTTTTGACTATGTTCTTGGAAGTATGGAGCAAGAACCAGAAGTTAGCAAACTTTTTCTGTAAAGGACCAGATAAATATTTTAGGCTTTGTGGACCACAGTTGGTCTCAGACATATATTCTTTCTTCTTTGCCTTTTTCACAAACATTTAAAACATGTAAAAGCCATTCTTTGTTATATTATATATAGGCTATACAAAACAGGATCTTGATCATTAGAACTCAATTTTGGATGACCAGAATTTTTAATAATCTGAGTTAACTCTATCTACTATTTGATAAACACCGAGTTGAATCCCAAACTCAGAAGGCCAGAGGCCATCCTCCTCCCTTTCTCAATCATAGCATAATGGAGTTAAAGACTTTTCTCGCTGGGGAGGTTTAAAATGCACAGGCAGCACCTCCCCATCACTGGGCAGTCTTGGAATTTCAACAGCATCACATCTCTAAGGAGAAACTCTGAAAGAGAACCTGCCAACTTAGCAATCAGCAATAGATCCAGGTTGGGGAGTGATGTAAAATGCCCCAAAGTCTATGAGTCTCCTTTTGACTACGGTCCCAGGCTAGGGCTTGGAGTCACGTTGTGGCATTTCTACCACGTCTATCCCCATAAGCACTGACATCATACATGCAGCTCCAGACCACAATTTCCCGCAACTAGCTTATGACTTGTGATTTTTATGGGCTTTTTTTCCCTCCTCGGGTTATTATTATGAATTACCAGCGGCTTCAGCATCTTTCCAATTGGCAGGAAGCAGTGCAAACACAGATGGAAGTTTCCCAGTTAAAACCCTCTTAACAAAGTCATAAAACAAAAAAGCCCAACCTCTCTCTGACATGCTGTCAGCTCAGAAGCTACTGAGAGAGAAGGAAGAAAACATAAGAGCGATTGTTTCTGCCCTTGCTAAACAGATCTTTTAGACGTAAAGGTGGGGAGGAAGGTACTGGTACCTTTCATACATGAGGGGCTCTGGGGTCTAGTAATACCCACAAAGCTCTCTTCCTGAGGACAAAAATGAGGGCTGAGATTATAGACCACAGTAATGTTCTGCCTCCTGCTGGGAACCTGGGAGCCCCTGCTTACATGGCAGCGTGACACCAGGGTAATGTCACTGGCAGGGACCTCAGCTAGATTCGGCAAGAGACCTGGCTTGCTGCTTTGCTGCCTCCAGAAAAGTCTCTGCCCCAAGGAACTCCAAACACAGTTGGAAATGCAGGATTAATGTGACTACAGTGCACTGGGAGTCAGGAGAATGGGTGTTTGTCCTGGCTCAGTCACTGTGTGATTTTGGCAAGTCACTCCCTCTGAATCTCCGTATCACCACCGACAAAATGTTTAGGGTGCATGTCCCCAGCTCTGATGCTCTTGGAAAGACATGGTGAACAAAACAAAGCAGTGCAAAATCAGATGCTAAACTACAAGGAAACTGCAAATTGCTTAAAAGTCCAGAGGAGTAGGGAGTTGTCACAAGGGCCTGGGGTAGCTGAGCCCATTGTGTCCTTTCACTTCCGATGTCTTTGCTATATCCCATTCCCTTACCCATAACATCACTTCTTCAGGGAAGCCTGCCTAGATATCCCCAGGTTGTCAGTCACTCCCCTTGTGCTCCAAATAATTATTAATTCACTAATCTGTCTTCTTCACTGGCCAGATTGCTCCAGGGTAAGGAAGGGCCCTGTCTGATCTGTCTTTCCCTTCTCTTGTCACACAGAAAGTGTTAAAAAATGTCTGTTGAACTGAACTGTACTGCAAAGGGTGGCAGTATCTGCTATCTGGGCAGTCCCTAAGTCTGGTCAACTTTCCTCTGAAAGTCCAGGGGATTTCCTCACCACTGCCTCAGGCATTATCGACCCAATGCTGGGATAACTGAGAAAGCCTAATGATACTCCAACTGATCTGTCACTGTGCAAACACATCACCTTCTCCATCTGGACCAAACATGTAACACACACACACACACACACACACACACACTCACACACACACAGCAATGACCCAAAACTACATCTGTCCTGCCTTCCTCAACAAGAGGGCTGAGGAAACCACAGACATCCTTCCAGAAATCTTAGTGCGTCTCCCAAGCAGCCCCACCTGGTCAGAGAGGCATATCCACAGAAAGCGGGGCACTAGCCACTTCTGAAGCATGTGAATTAGACTTCCCTGAAAAGCCTCTGAGAATACTTGGCTGCTGCCAAGCTTCTGTTCATGGAAATCACCTCTGCCTCCTCATTGCTTTTCTTATATCACTGCCTTGTAAAAGGGCAATTAGTTTTGGGCAATTAGAATGATTAACTCACCAGATGTAAGTGCTGGAGCATCTCCACGTATCTGTAGAGGGAAAGGGGGTTGAGTTTGCATTAATTCCCATCCTGTATAAGCCTGGGAGGGGCGATGCTCTGTTAACAAGTTCAAGGCCACAAGCAGCTGCTTGGGGACTCACGTTTTTTCTGAAGATAGCAGTTCCTGTGCGATGACATGGGCTCTGGACTGTCCTTCCACCTGTGGGGGGAAACAGAGCCATCAGGAGGGGCAGCACCAATGGGGCAGCAGAGAGAGGCACAGGCTCCACAAGCATCAGGTTCACAGAAGGACCTCCATGCTCTTGAAGGCAAATTCCACTAACTTCTCAGGTCATTCCCTGGCACTCATTACCTGTGTGATCTTCAACCTCACTGCACCTCAGTTTCCTCATCTGTAGATGTGAATAGCATCTAACTCTGAAGGTTGTTGCGATAATGATCAACACAGTGCTTGACACATAGTAAATGCTCAATAATGGCCACTATCATGACTGATCTTGAACAACCTGTAATTCTCTATTAAAGGAAGCTCTGTCTTACCTCTTGCTTTTACAGATGCTGTCTGTCTCCTGCGTCTCTTTCCCCTTCACTACCTGGCTAACTCCCAGTTATTCCTTTTTTTTTTTTAATTCTCACCCAAGGACATTTTTGCATTTATCTTCAGATAGGGTGGGAAGGAGAGAGGCAGGAAGAGATAGAGAGAAACATCGATGTGAGAGAGACACACTGAGTGGTCGCCACCCACTCAACCCTAACCAGGGCCGGGGACAAACTGCAACCAAGGTACGTGCCCTTAGCAGCAAATGAACCCAGGTCTCTCTGGTCCGCAGGCCAACGCTCTAACCGCTGAGCTAAACTGGCCAGGGCCCAGTTATTCTTAAAACTTAGCCATGGCATCTATCACCTCCTCCAAGGAGACTTTCCTGATCCTCTCCATGAATTGGCTGAGTTAGCTATCCTTTCTGGGCATCCCCTTCTCAGGACACCAATTACATCTCTCCTAAAGGGCAAGAACCACCCATTTCACCTCTGCATGAGCGGTGCCTGGCATACCATAGATTCCTTTTTCTGACTGAAAGAATGAAAGAATAAGAGAATCATCCGCTTTGGAAACATTAATGCTCTTGGCTGACCTCAGAGGGTGATCCATTGTAACCTATCTCAGTCCAACTTCTGCACCTGTAAGGATGGATGGGCAAGGGCTGAGGCAGATGCCTAGGCCTTCTGCCACAAGCAGGCTACTACTCTGTAGATCCAAACCTGCCAGATATCAGACACGGCTGGTGGCTGGGATCCAGAAGAACTATGGGCAGCCTGACAGAACAGATGGTAGATGCTGGGAATGTACAGGCATGGCTGGGGGCAGGGTGGCCCACGGTGGAGCAGAGGGCACTCAGGAGGGATGCCTGGCTTCTGCTTCCAGCTCTACCGCTGTCTCTCAGTGCAACCCTGAGCCTCAGTTTCCTCATGAGTGAATAAAGTGACCTTTAAATTCACTTCCTGTGTATTACCAAACTTGAGGAGTTATGGTCAAGTGAATGATCTACTCTAGAAATTCACTACCTGCGGAGAGCAACTGCATAGTGTGGCAGTTACAAGCATGAACTCAGGAACTAAGCAGCTTGGGTTCAAATCCTGATTCAACCTTTTTTACTAGTTGAACATGTTATTTATTTAACCTCTCTATGCCTCTATTTTCTTATCTGTAAAATGGGCAGAATAATTTAATCCTTACAATATACATGTGTGTTGTTACAATACATGTTACAATACACACATGTATGTTGTAAGGATTAAAATAGTGTAGATATATATATGTTTATAAATATATAAAGAGAAATCCATCTATAGATCTATAAATCTATCTACAGATAGATATCTATCCAGAAATCTATCATCTCTCTCTTTATATATATCTATATATCTATCTCACACTAGGCACACGGTAACAGCTGTCATTACCCTTATTTTTATTATTGAGGTGATGCCAGAAACAGAACCAAGTACTCTACCCACTGGATGACAATAGTAGGGATGGAATAAGAAAAATAATTTACATGGTCAAGTAGGGGAAAGGCCTCAGCTGCAAAATGAAGGCTCAGCCACTCCTGTGACAGTAGCAGCTGAGGCAGTGGAAAGCAAATGGGCTCTGGAATCAAGCACATCCAAGTTCAAATCCTGGCGCAGCATTGCTTAATTGCGTGACATTTGGCAAACCATTACGTCTGAGTCTCAGTTTTTTCATCTGAAATATGGTGGAAAATAATCAACCTGACTTTATATGCTGGTCTTTTTGATGATGTGTTCCTGACTAAGGGACTTTGCACTCACTGTTCTCTATGCTTATGATGTTCTCAGATCTTCTTGTTCTTACTTTCTCACTTTTTCAGGTTCCTGCTCAAAAGTTACATCCCATCCTCAGTGTAGTCATTTGTGACCATCTGACCTAAAGAACACCCGAAGTCATTCTCTAATCCCAAGGTTTCTCAACTTTGGCTTTACTAACATTTTGGGCCAGACAACTTTTGTTGCAGGGCTATCCTATGTATTGTAGGACTGTTAACAGCATCCATGGCTTCTACCCCATGGATAACAGTAGCAGCCCCCACCCTCAGTTGGGACAATCAAAAATGTCTCTAGGTATTAAATGTCCTCTGGGGGTAAAATCTCATCCCTTGTTGAGAACCACTATCCAAACCCTTTATGTTGCTGTACTTTTCTTTAAAGAAAAAAAAAAATTTTTTTAAATTGATTTTGAGAGAGAGAGAGAAAGGAAGAGGGAGAGAAAGAAATACTGATGTGACAGCAAAACATAGACTGGCTCCCTCTTACATGCCCCCTGCCAATGATCAAGCTTGCACCCAGGCATATGTCCTGACTGGGAATCAAACTGGCAACCTTTTAGTGCACCAAATGACACCCAACTGAGCCATGCCAGCCAGGGTGCTGTACTTTTCTTTATAATAGTCACACTCCTGCCCTGGCCAGTTTGGCTCAGCGGTTAGAGCGTCGGCCTGAGGTCCAGAGAGACCCGGGTTCAGTTTCCACTAAGGGCATGCACCTCGGTTGCAGTTTGTCCCCGGCCCTGTTTGGGTTGTGTGGGTGGCGGCCACTCGATGTGTCCCTTTCACGTCGATATTTCTCTCTCTCTCTCTCTCTCTGTCCCTCCCACTCTATCTGAACAAAAAATGGAAAATGTCCTCGGGTGAGGATAAAAAATAAAAATATAATAGTCACACTCCCTAATATTATCCTTACATTACACATACCAGATATTCAATAAATGTTTGATTAAACTGATAAAATGAGATACACTGCCCAGCACATAGAAGATGCTCAATAAATGAGTTCCCTCCCTAGCTGGTCCATTTCTAATAGTTTCTTAGTGTTTTCTGGCAACTCAGTCCCTCTGACCACACCCTAATAGTACAGACCCTGGGACCATAGTCAGTCTCCTTCCTGCATCTCACTGCAGCTGTCACGGCATCCATGGAACAGGAAGGAAAATTACGAGGCCTGTGAAGGCCTCCAGCCTCACCTGGACTCCCGCCCTCCCATTGGCGCCGAATTGTGACTCACTGTCTGCCTTCTGCATCTGCAGGGCTAGCATGGGGTTCAGTGGACTAGAGCACCTCACTCTTCCCAATGCAGGGGCTTCTTCAGAGTCCCACACGTGAAAAGGCTTTGTAAACAAAACCCTTTCAATGGAAAATGTATTCTGCCAGGACAGGCCTCAACAGCTAAGAAAACCCTGTGGTCAAGCTTCCATAAAGAGAATTACTCTGTAGAGACGGGACAGGAGTCAGGAGATATGAAGCTTAGGCTCTTCCCCTATAAAATGAGGACAAGAGTCAAGATGACCTCCAACCTCCAATCTTCCAGGGGTCTGTGATTCAATTATCATTTGTCATCCAGTATGATGCTAAAAAGGCCTGATTCAAATCCTGGGCTCCACCCCTTCCTATACCTATGCCCTTGAATAAGTTATTTCTCTTCTCTGAGCCCCATCTGTAAAACATGAATGTTGCTGCTAATACTAAATAATAATACTAAATAATAATAACAATATCTATTTAACAATATAACAGCTAGCAATTATTGAACACTTAGTATGTGCTAAGTATGGCTCCAAGCTTTTTACGCATATTATCTCACTGAATCTCCCCCAAAATCTATGAGGTAGGTACTTAGTATCTCCATTTTACAGATGAGGACACTGAGGCACAAGTAAGTCCTACCCTTTGCCCAGAGTCACTGCTAGTAAGTGGCAGAGCCAAGGTTCAAATCTAGGTAGTCTGGCTCTAATACTCCAGCACTTAGCAGCATGCTGGCATATAGTAAAACTCAGTAAATGGCATTTCTGTTCATTTTAGATTATGATGGGTTTTTCAAATTGGGAAGCACCTATTCTTTACCTGCACTGTTGAGCCAGCAGCAGGAGAATTGTACGCCAGGAAGGGCCTGGGCTAATCCTTGGGCCTCAGCTCTTCTGAGTCTTACTCTCAAAGTAGTGCCCACTGTGGTGTGTAGATAAGAACTTTGCTCAAAGTCAGGACACCCGGATCCACATCTCAGCCAGACCATGAGTGACTATGTGACCAAGGGCAAAGCCCTCTCAGATGCCTCAGTTTCCACATCTGGAAGATGGGGGTCAATAGTCCCACCTCCATGAGATGATGGATGGAAATGGTAAATCCCTATCCAAACTTTTGGAGTTGTTATTACCATTGTTACAATCTTGAAGCTGTGGGATATACTTCTGGTAGGGTTGGGGCACGGGCCACTCTGCACGTCCCTTCCAGCCCCTCCTGCCAGACAGGCAGACTCTGGGTGGGACATATGGGCTGTCCCACTTTAGTGACTCTGCCAATGATGGATGTGTCTTCGCCAGCCAGACAAGAGTGAGGCATGTGCCCAAGGCTCTCCTCAGAAGCTGCTTATGGGCGTTGCCCAACTGGGCCATTTAATATAGATGTTTATTTAACCAGGAAATGAACTCTGAGGTTGACGGCAGTGTCCAGGGACAGACTTCTGGGAACAGGGTTCCTCCCAGAAACATGGGGCCAGGGGCGCCAGGGCTATCGCCTTTCTCAGGCTGACACTGTGGGTATTATATCAGGTGGCTGCTGGCCCCTCTGCCTGAGGCTGAAGCAGCTTATCACCTCTGTTCCCCAGGGCTGCCCAGTTCTGCGCTTCCTC